GTCAGAATTTTCCATTATTCTTTCAAAAAAAAAAAAACCACTCCAAAACTCATCTGATTGTTTTTGTGGTGAATGTGGGGGCAGGGTAGAGATTACTGCTGTGTACCCTGAACTGTGACTTATTAATTTGACTTTTCAGATGGTGTCACAGTGTCAGCGGGAACAGGCAGCTCTGTCCCACAGGTCGATATGGTCACAAGACCAGTGGCTACCAGCCATTAAAGCTGGATAGGGCTGACTGCAGGACAATGGAGCAATCATCATGGGGATGTTCTCCTAGATGGCCTGGCTGGTAAACCGGGAAAACTAGTCTGAGGCAGCAGGAAGACTTCACCTGGCCTGTAACCCAGACCACTGAGAGCAATATGTTAATTGAGCCCAGACACACACAGGGCGGGTGGGGACTCCCAGAAAAAGCAACTTCACAGAGAAAGGGGAGCAGAGTGGGGCAGACAAACTGAGCCCAGCTGGGTCTCATGAGCACCTTGGTTCTTACAAGAACACAGGCTCATTCTGTTCTTTTCCTGTTACTCCCCAGGGAAGCCCAGCTCACTTAATTTGCAGGGAAGCAGAGATTAGATGAGCTGCAACACAAGTATGGGGTGTTTGTTTTTTAAAACCCCTTTTGCTCTAATGCATTGTTCCGGCTGCTGAATAAAGTGCTTTGTTCTGAGTACGCTGTAGGTCACTATCACGGGACACAAGTTGCCCAGAGGAAGAAATGCTGGTGCCTGAAACCCAGTCAGACCTGCAGGGTGCTAAGCAGTTGGTTTGCACAGGGTAGTGTAACCAGGCCAGGCCTAATGGAAGAATAATCTCGAGATTCCACCCCAAGACAGGCCAGGGCAAGTGGGCCAAGGCCTGATGTAGATGCACATAGAGACACCAGAAAGGGGAGAAAGGTGCAGCTAACCCTGTAACTGTGACAATGTTCAATGAAAATAAAAAAAAGTTTGTGAAAATGTCCATAACAAGGAAACAGTTTTACCTCTGAAAAAGTTTTGATTAAAAATGCAAGACAGACAGACAGACAGACAGACAGACAGCGAGGTTGCTGCAGTGCATTAACCTATCCTGTGGCTCTGCTTTTCTCTGTACATAATACTATATTTTTACAACAGAGTTTGATCCTCAGATCCACATATTTTCAAGGTCTGATGAGATCACAGCACAAGGTGAGATGTTTACAGGCCCTAGGACAGGTCATGTTCCCATTGAACAAGGACAGGATGTTTGCAAGATTTCATAGTAAGTCACCTGAGCAAACGACGCCAACATCCTCAGCAATTCCTGCCTGCTCTGCCTGAGACGTGGAGGTGATGCAGAGCGTCAGATTAGTCTCGTTTCCTGCACACTGGACACTTCTCAGCCCCACGGGGCCCGTTCCTCGCTCAGACTTAGGGGGGTTATAAGCTTTCTCAGCGACTCCGCACTGGAGCTCCCTACACACCACGATGGCATCGTCCATGTCCCACTGGTCATCCAGCACTCTGCCCCATGCACCACGGAGGGAAATCTCTACTCTCCCATCACACCGGCTCTCTCCATTCAGCAGTCTGAGTGATTCAGAGCGACCTGGGCTCAGGAGAGATGGGAAACACACTGAATAACACTCCCTGTTATACATTAGAAATAATTCATACTATGCAAGAAGTTATGGAAGGTTTCTAACTCAGAGGGTATTAACGACATTGATTGATGTGTATCAC